TTGTTACAGACTTTTGACTCTTCAAGTGGGGGTCAGGAAGTCAGGAGGCCAGAAGAGCCATGCAGAAGCAGCGTGGCTCTCTCCTAAGTAGTGGGACTTCTGCCTGCTTTCCTGCAACTACTGCAAGCCTGTGACAAGAATCCACCCCAGTGAAGGGGTTCCTGCATGGATAGGAGCTTTCTCAGCCTTGCATGCCCTGCAAGACTTTTGATGAGTGAACCTCAGAGAGGTGGTGAGGCCATCCAGCCAGCCAATTTTGGACAGATTTGCAATGTCAGAAAACACCTCAGTGCCTCCATGTACTGAAACTAAGGTCCAAGGAGACCAGTGTCTATAGGCAGTTCCCAGATTGTCCTTGTCACTAGAATCTGTTTGCTGAGGCTCTCTTGACAGGTTTAGGGTATGGAAAGAAAAGTCAGGCTCCAAGTCTCTCCTCTATGTTCAGTGCTATGGAATGGAAAGCCAGCCTTCCTGAGTTCAAATCTTGACTGTACCACTTACTTGCTGGTAACCTTATGCATTTGTTTTAATTTCTTGCTTAATTAATTTGCTCATTCATATTATGTTATAAGAGCATGTTTCTTACAGGATTTTTGTGAAGATTAAAAGAGCTAAGAGCTAGAATAGTGCCTGGCATATGGTCAATAGCATGAACTGTTATTACTGATCTTTCAAGGAGGCCTCAGAAGAAACCTTTTGACCATAATTACATGGTCATTTTTTTCATTCTGTTTGCATTTTCTCTAATTCCAGCTTGACTGGGAAGCTTTTTTTCATCTTGACTGAAGAACATCACCTTCCTTTGAACAAGGCATTTAAACATAGGTCTTGGGAAAAATCACTCAGTTCTCTTGAGCCTTATTGTCCTCATCTGTAAAATGGAGGGGGATGGAGTACCTGCTTCGTGTAGAGAGAATTTGGGAAAGTGTTTAGGACAACTAGAATGCTCCCTGTTTGCAGTAACTACTGTTTTTCTTGCTTTATGTCCAAAGCAACAAACATATTCACACACCTTTGCTCTCTGTATTCCTCTTGCCTTTTTTTCTGGCTCGAACTCTTCAACAAACCACTGAGGGCTAGAAGTAGAAATTGGACCTTCATATTATCAAGAAAGGGTTTTGAGAACAAGCACATGAATAGTCCTTTCTTAAACAACCTTAAGGAACTCTCAGTGACAAGTGCTATCTTCTTTCCACATCTACTCATTTTGGGGGTTTTTTTGGACCTGATCTCAGTGCATAGTCCAGTCTGTCTTTGAATCTACAATCCTCCTGTCTTAGCTTCCTAAGTACTGATAGGAGGGTACCACTATGCCCAAACCCACATCTGCTCTTTAACCCCATTTGCATGGCAGAATTTCATTTATGGCTATGTAGTACTCCATTGTGTTTACATACCACATGTTCTTTATTCATCAGTTGATGAACATTTTGGTTGTTTCCATTTCTTTGCTATTATGAATAATGTTGCAGTGAATATGGGAGTTCAGGTATCTTTTCAAAGACTGTTTTCATTTCATTTACATGTATATCCAGGAATGGTATTACTGGATCATATGGTAGTTCTAATTTTAATGGAACCTCCATACTATTTTCCATTGATTTGCTGACATTTTCAGTTTATGAAGGTTTTATCAAAATATAACCCTCTGTTGGGTTAAATAAAATACTTTTTTTTCTTTCTTTTTTTTTTTTTTTTTTTGTGGTACTGGGGCTTTAAGCAGGGCCTTCACCTTGAGCCACTCCACCAGCCCAATTTTTTTGTGAAGGGTTTTTCAAGATAGGGTCTCACGAACTATTTGCCTGGGCCAGCTTCGAACCATGATCCTCCTGATCTCTTCCTCTGAGTAGCTAGGATTATAGGCATGAGCCACTGGCACCCAGGTAAAATATATTATTAAAGTTAGCTTCACCTGTTTCCTTCTACCTTTTTAATATGCCTACTAGAAAATTTAAAATTACCTCTGTGGCTGCATTATATTTCTGTGGATAGCCCTGTGCTAGTATGTGATTTCCCTCCATTTTGTCCCCCTTTCTCCCCTTAGTTTTTGCTCCTGTTTCTCTTTGTTCTAGGCTCTTACCCTCCTTGTTGCCAGATGAGTAAGATCCTCTCTGCCCAGAAGGACAACCTGGGGTAATAAAAAACCTCACATTTGAACACCTTGTGTCATATCATTGATTTACCTTAGAGCTGGCAGTGGATGTGTCTGTGTCCTCTGCAGATTATATGATCCTTGCAGGTACAGTTCTGTCACGTTTACCTTCGTAGCCATCCTTGAGAGTCTTGTGTAGAGAGGGCCCCCTCTAATTTTTCTCTGGAAAAACTAGACAACCAGGAGGACATTTACAGCTGTGGAGCTGGGGCTTGGGTCTTTCTGAGAGTGAGATTCCCAGGAAAGCTTCTCCATGGCCATCATTTTTTTCAACACCTTGATCAAATACCTGCTTCTCTGTGCCTCATTGTGTCCCAAATGCTAACACACCTATATTTTAGTGTAAACCTATATTATATATCTACCTTCCCTAATCATCTCAAATCCCTTAGAGGCTTGGGCATGCATAACCCCCTTACTCCCCACACCTGGTTTTGAAAGGGGTTCAAGTATTTGTTCCTTTGTTAAACTGACCACTTGGACCTGAGGCCTTCCCTAGAGTTTGTTTTATTTTCCTGGTTATGGAATGTTATGAAAGTTTGTTCAGTTTTAATTTGCCTTTTCCTTCTGAAAGGCCGGACCCCCAGAACAACAGAAGCATAGCATAGTTAGGGTCGATGAGGGTTGTTGCTAGGGGTGTTAGGCTGAGGTGATGCTGATGTAGAAGACTCAACCAAGTCATTTTGCTTCTCTCCCATTTGCATCCTCACCACTGACTGGCTGGACTGTCACTGAATACCTACTTTGTGCGGGGCGGTGGGGGGGGTGCCCCCCCCCCCAAGGATTACCTCCCCTCCCTGGAGGGTTTAGTTTGCTGTGTGAAAACTCATCAGAGTCTGTTATATGCCAACACTTTCACTTATGCATTTTTATTGGTCGGCTCAAAAGCCTCATGCAGCTGGGTATTGCTGGTGAGTAAGGTGCAGTGGAGTCAGGGCAGTTGACACTGGAGGCCTGAGTGCCTATAGGAAGACAGTGGAATGCAGATTTTTTTTTTTCCCTGTAGTGTTTGGCTTTCTTTCTTTTCTTTCTTTTTTCCTCCTTCTTTTAAAAATTGTGTAGCATTGCCACATCAGATGAGTTCACTGTCTTTGTGGGATTAAAAACAAAGCTTGAAATTCCTTCTTCAGACATGGAACCTGATACGCAGATTGTCAACCCCCTCCCAGGACAGTGGCTCCGATAGCTACCGGGTGACTTATTCTTCCTTGATATTCTTCTCTTTTCCTGTTAACCCCAGGCATCACTGAGGGGATCCACTGCAGCACCTGCCTTTGGCTAGACTCTCCCACTCTGCTCTTTTAAGCTCTTGGTGTCTTAAAATGACCTTTCCTGTTTTGTTTGCTTGTCCTTCTTCTAAGGACTCTATTTTCTTCCTTGATCGTGGCAGCATCTCATAATGCTGAACCTGTGATACTCCAGTTTATTTCCTCTGTGTGACCTTCATTGTAAATATAAAAAGAATTTTTGCACCGAGTTTATTTTACCATAATCTATGGTAAAATCTAATTTATTTTAACATAATCTAAGGAGGCTCATCTACCTCCAGGCCACCTAAAATCAAATTTGTTTCCTCTTATAATCCTACCCTTCTTAAGAACATCCCTATTTCCTTTGGATGTAATATAAACAGTCAAGGTCCTCTGCAAGAGGTTTTCATCACTCTTCACATTATTAACGTTTTTGAAACAAATTTTCTTTATTAAAAAACTGGGCTACTTGGTGTTTTCTGGACTTAACCTACATTTTCCCACTTCTGTGCATTTGATTCAAACTACTACCTTCCTTCCTGATGAAAGGAAGCCCTGTCTGAGGTGCCACTTCCTCCCAGAGCAGTTCTGAGTCCTCCACACATGATAGTCTCTCCTGCTCTGAACAGCAGGAGTCACATTCTTTGACACATATTAGACTAAACCTGCATAGAGAATTTCTTTGGAAGGATGTAGAAGAAACCCGGGCAGTGCCTTTGGAGAGAGGAACTGAGTAGCCAGGGCACAGGAAAGGACTTAGCTTTTCACAGTACACTTTTCTTTTTGAATTTTATACCGTATGTATTTCCCATAAATTGTTTCTAGTACCAATGTTATTTAAATAACAAAATAACAAAAACCCAATCTATAAAAAGTTAGAAAATATTGGAAAGTATGTTTATAACTTCCACGTAGTGGAAGTGTTCTTAAACCAAACTGAAAACCCAGATACCATAAGGAAAACTATTTTTAAAATGTATGTGTTCATTTATTTGTCATACCCCTGTTTGGCTACAAGTGCCTGAAGTGCTTATCTTTTTGTCCTTCGGAGCAATGATTTTTACATGGTAATCAATAAATTTTAGTTGACTTGAAATTAAATTGAATTGCAAGTCATTTCTTTGTAGACCTTACTTTCTTCACTTATGAGTGCTAGGTGCCTTTCAGGGTCCTATTTGAAATTCTGTGGATTTGTGGGATTTGCAGGCAGAAATGTGCAGGAGACCTAGAATGTGCAGCCCTTCCCCTGAGAGCCTCTTTCCCAGTACACGGGCCCCAGTGCCATGTGGATCCTGCATGCTTGGGGGAGCTGCCTGGAGAGCTCAGCATTATTTATGCCCAGGAAATGAACCAATTAAACACAGAAAAGAGCTAGGAGTAAATGGGGAGGTCTGTGGCAGACTTACTGCCCTGAACAAAAGGGGGAAAGTGAAGGGGTAAAGCAGTTTGCTTTCCAGCTGTCTGAACAATTTGGCCACAGTTTTAAGAGCATCAGGAGCATTGTATCAGGATTCTGGGCCAGGTGGACAGTGGGGAGGCCAGAGGTGTCTTCCAGGGAACTGGGTGGACTTATTTGGGCCTATCTCCGAATTTCACAGAAGCTGCCAGACTTCTGGATTCCTCGGCACCTATCCCAGGTTTGTTCAGTAGTTTTTTTGTTTGTTTGTTTGTTTGTTTGTTTTAATGGTAGGGCTGGAGGTGTAGCTCAGTGGTAGCGTGTGTGCCTAGCTTATGTGAGGCCCTGGTGCCTAGCTTATGTGAGGCCCTGGGTTTGATCTCCAGCACCACCAAAGAAAAGTAAATAAGTAAATAAAGTGAAATAAAATGGTGTTTTCCCTCCCCATTTCCAATGATATGCAGCACAAGGACAGGGAGCCATCATCTCTTTCCACTTGTTGTCCACCCCACCCCCTGCTGACAGTGAGCTTGTATAATAGCATTCTAGGTTGCAGGGAGGTGAAACTGGGCAGAGGTTGCAAGGGCACATCTGCATGGAGTGTGGTCAGTGGGGCTTGTGGGTGGGAGCAAACCAGAACCTTATCTTGGACAGCCAGACACTGCCATATGATTCCCAGTCACTCTAGGCTTGTTATAGATGTCTGTGTGATATTCAGGATGAGGGTAAGGCATGATCAGATAAATTGATTTTCCTTTGGTCTATCTTGCATTTGTAAAGTGTTTGGAAAGTTGAAGGTCATGGGTGCCTGGCCATCCTGCCTTCCTCCCGGTGCAGCCTTCCAAACAATGATTTCTTAGTGCCCCAGTGGGCTCCTCCTATTTTGACTGGGCACACCCTGCACTGCACTTCTTGAGCTTCACTTCTGTAGTCCATCTGGGGTAGAATGAGAGGCAATCCTACTCTTCCAGCTTCTGTGATAGCTTATCTGGACCAAGGTCCCATTGCACCAAGGCCCTGCTTGTCATCTCCCCAGTTGATGAGTTTGAAAGGGTGAAGGGGAGGTGATCTTGACATATACACCCCTTACAATCCCTTCAGCTCATGGGACAGTTATGAGACGTCAGGGTAGAAGCAGCCCATGGTTAGAATCAGAAGACCTGACTTTGGTCCCAAGTTGGCCCATCACCTTCCCTTAATATTGGCTAACAGTCACTCATCTTCGAAGGGGAAAAATTATAACTACTTCACAGAATTGTAAGGACAAATAAATCAGACAGGAGGTGAATGTGCATTTAAAACTAGACCATCCTATCTAGATGAAGAATGTGGAATTTACTGTGGGATAGAGACAAGTGATGCCCATCAGAGGATGGAAGGTGCATGGGGCTTGGGAAGCCGCCAGGAAAGCCATCAGAAATCCTCTCTGAGGCCTAATGCACATTTTTATTATACCATGGAGTCCTTTCTGGCCTTGATGTCAGAAACAAGCTACTACTTCCCTCTATGGGTTATCAGTATTTTATCTTCTCGCACCCTGCCTCCTTGTGTCAATGGGTTTTATTAGAACCAGGTCCCAATGGCAATAGGTGCAGGACTTTGTCAGAGTCCACTGTTTAGTTCTGGATACAGTTTCCTTAAGGCATGGTGGGGAAGAAGAAGGGAAGTGTTGCAAGTGGCCAGTCTTACCTGCTGTTAGCAGACTTCTGTGTTACTGGCAACCTGAATTCCTGGGTTTGGTCAACAGCCTTTCCAGGGAATGGCTCTTTGCCCTTCATATGTTTCTTGTTGAGGTCTTCAGAGCTGTGTCACTGAGAAGGGACCTCGATTGAAAGCCTCACTGTGGTACCACCTCTCTGTCCTTCCTGTCTTCGCAGTGTGTCCCCTGCCTCCGGAGCCAGAGAATGGTGGCTACATCTGCCACCCCCGGCCCTGCAGAGACCCCCTGACAGCGGGCAGTGTCATCGAGTACCTGTGTGCAGAAGGCTACATGTTGAAGGGTGACTACAAATACCTGACCTGTAAGAATGGCGAGTGGAAGCCAGCTATGGAGATTAGCTGCCGTCTCAACGAGGGTCAGTCTGCAAGTGAGAAGGGGATGTTGCCTAGGTTCTCCTTTCTTCCAACTCCCAGGGAATGGTCATGCTTCCTCCAGAGTGCTCTTGGCTGTGCTGCAGTTCTGTGGCCTCACATCCTTTGGGATTGCATGTCTTTGTGCAGTTTCTCCTTTGTGATATTGGGGTTGCTGGTATGTGTCACATTTCATTCCACTGAGCAGCTCCATATCTTTACTGAGGCATCTGCCCTGCTATATAAAGTACCTTTGATGTTCAGGATCTCTTGTTTGCCTAGCCAAGTACTGGTGACCTTTGACTGTGTTCTGCTAGTACAATGCTAGCACCTTCTCTAGTGTCTCTTTCATTTCATTTTTCCTTGAATGGAAAGGGACTGTTTTGTTACGGAGCTACAGTCCAGCTGGACAGCAGCCCCCTCTTTCCTCCTGCCTCTTCTTGTCTTGCATGACAGGAAAATCCAGCTGCCTGAAGGGAAGTATGTGTCGTATAGTCAACTTTGTGCTTCACACTTGGACTTCAAAACCAGAGCATATTTAACCCATGACTCCATGGAGGATGGTGGGAACTAACCTGAGATTTACAACAAAGGTTGAGGCTTTCAGATAAGGGCATGGTTGATGTTCACCAATGTGCTACTGAGGGTGGAATTAGAGTGGTTTATAAAGGTAAGAATTCAGGGCTAAGTGAGTTTAGGTGTCAGAAGAACCTCAAAGGATGGAAGTGAAGAGGATTTTTATTATTGTTATTCAGCAAACAGTAGAGGGAGCTGTATCCAGGAGTACCATGTGTACATAGGCTGCTTTATGCAATTTCCCTGAAAAGACCCAACTGTAGGGGTGTCTGTATGGCACTGTGTAGGGGGCATTTGATCACATAGCTCTGGGGCCCATGTATTGTGTGTTGGTACAAAATGCTTCTGGCACTGGCTTGTTTCCATAGACAAAGAAACCCACACATCACTCGGGGTCCCTGCACTATCCATAGTGGCTTCCACTGCCAGCTCCGTGGCGCTCATTCTCCTCCTCGTGGTGCTGTTTGTGCTGCTGCAGCCAAAGCTGAAGTCTTTCCACCACAGCAGGTGAGCCCAGTGCTGCTTTGAGGCAGGCAGCAAGCATCCTTGTGGGGCCAACTTTGGACTGACTGGGAGGCTGATGGGATACCAGTCTGTGTTGGTCTGTGTCCTGGGGAAGCAGAATAGAGGGCCCTGACATGTGTTAAACTCCTGCATGTACTTGCATTGTGCTTGTTGCTTCAAATACATTACCTTAATCCTCAGAGAAACACTGCAGACAAGGACACTGAGGCTCAGGGAGGTTGTGTCATTCATACAAGGGCATATCCTAAACCGGTTCAACTCCAAAGCCATTTCACCTTCATCAGTGGTTCACAATGTGGTTCCAGCAGCAGCAGCATCACAGAACTTATTAGGAATGCATATTTCCAGGCCCTTCTCCATACCCTCTGGGGCTACGGCCAAGGTTGGAGTTTATAGCCCTGCAGGTGATTCTGATAAATGCCCATGTTTGTGAGCCATTGTCCTGTGCTTCTGCTTTCTAACATAGGTGTGACTGGACCTCCCTCCCCCAACATTGATATATTTGATTTGGCATGCAACTCTGGCATCACTGTTTTATAGAGAGATTTTCAGGTAGTTTTAAGGTACAGTGAGGATCCAGAATCACTGCACTGTATTATAGAAGAAATGGAGGGAGTGGCTTTTCTTCCTCTTGTACTCTCCTTTTTCCAGTATAGTACATTATCTTTGAATAGCCCCAGGTAGGAGTAAATGAGGTGGTAGAGGTGTGGGGGGGTGGCAAATGGCAGGGCCCTGATGGGAGTGGCTCTGAGTACATCCCTGATGGTGGACTTCTCTCCTGCACTATCTTGCCCTCTCTGTTGGTCCTTCATGCCTTAGAGGAGTACATCTTTTATATTCATTCACATCCCTACATCAGTCACTGTCACACCACATTCTGTAAAATACTCCCAGTTTGGACCTCACAGACAAGGACCATTCTAAGTTTAATCTGTGTGCAGTGTGTGATTTTTATTTTGTTTTATTTGGAGAGAGAGGATAGCAGTTAATCTTAAAGGTTGTTAATAGAGTAAAAAAGAATTTGAAGGAAAGTGTTTACTTGAAAGTCTCAGCTGTTTCCCATGAAGTCAGACCTATCTAATCTGCATTTCATCTAGCTTTCAGAGTTTTAGTTCCCCTGTAGTTAACCAGTAGGTCTGTTAAAAGTAACCAGTTGATTCTTTTTTGTCTGTGGAAGATTTGCTTTTTGTTACGGACGCCATTTAAATATTATACCATGTGCATGTATTATTTTTTTTTAACCACAACAATCTATTTTGAATAATAAAAGGTAGACACATACCAGGTATACACACTGCTTCCTATGCCACATTGCCATCAGAATTTCTCTCCTTCCAAAACCTCTGAGCACTTTTCAGGATGCTTCAGTTTGTTCATTATTTGAATTGGGCAGCCAGGTTGTATCTGCAAGTATAGGTAAGGAACTTGAGAGCTGCAAACCATAGTTAAGCAATGACAGTTTGGACTTGATGTGAGGAGCTGAAAGGACATAGCCTCACTTGTTTAGTGTTCTTGGTGAAAGCTAACTTACATCCAGTTCTGAGGAAACAGTTAGATACACTAATAGTGGAACATACTACAAGATAGCTGGCCTGGACTCTTTGAAAAATATCAGTGTCATAAAAGAAAAGCTATAGTGGGATGTGCTAGAGATGAATGGAGATAAAAGAGACAGGAAACTAAATGTGGTGTATGATCCTTAATGTGATCCTGAATGAAAACAAGAGACCACAGCTGAAATGGATATATTTGTGGGTAGTTCAGGAAATATATTTTATAGTATTATAACAATGTTAAATTTCTGGTATGTGTTGATGCTACAGTTTAATGGGAGATAAAGTTCTGGGGAAGCACACACACTAAATAATATCTGAACCATACTTCCAAATAGCTCAGGGCAAAGATATGTGTATGTGTGTAACAAAAGTGATTCCCCAGCCAGGCATGAAGGTACATGCCTGTAATCACAGCACTTAGGAGGTTGAGGCAGGAGGATTGCAAATTCAAGGCCAGCCTGGGTTATGTAGTAAGACCCTGCTCAAAATAAACAAAAAAGTGATCCCCAGAAAAGGTGTCTGCATAAATAAATCTCATATAATATTGAATAAAAGAAGCCAGAGACATGCATATCTATACACACAAATTTGCCATGTATCCCATTCGTATAAAGATAAACAATGTATTGATCTAAACTGTAGTGTTGAAGGATTCATGTTTTAAGTAGAACAACTGTTAAGATAAAAAGCAAAAGCAAAAGGAATGGTCTGGCACTGTGAATCATGCATGTAATCCCAGCTACTTGAGAGGTGGAGATAGGAGGATCAGAGTTTGAGGCCAGCCTAGGCAAAAAGCTAGTGAGGTCTAACTCAAAGAACAGCTGGGTGTGGTGGCACTTGCCAGCTACAAGGAAGTGTAGGTAGGAGGATCAAGGTCTGAGGCCAACCCAGGGCCTCAGACCTTGATCCTTAAAATTAGCTAAAGCAAAAAGGACTGGGAATGTGGCTCAAGTGGTTGAGTGCCTTCCTAGTAAGTGCAAAGCCCTAAGTTCAAACCCTAGTACCATCCTATTCCACTGCACCCCTCAAAAAAGGAAAGGGGTGATGATTTCCATAAACTCAGAGTGGTGATGGTAAGGGAATAGGAGTGACTGAGACAGACACAAAGGGTGTCTGGGCTATGACAGTGTGATTCTTGACCTTGGTAAGAGTTATGCACCAGTTTGCCTTTGGAACAAACAAGTGAACTGTATGTGTTCTTCTATTTGTTCTTTCCTATATTTGTGTTATAATTCATATATAACAAAATTCTTCTGCTTTTCCAGTCCCATTTCAAGACTACAGGGCCTCCCTCTCCCTCCTTCCCTCTCCTCTCCCGTTCATCTCTAACAGCTCTATGGAAATAAAATTTCTTTATTTAAATGATTTTATTTTTGATTTATCATACATTAATAATATGAGAGAATTTCACTGTAATAATTCTGTATACTCATATAGTGTACCGTGAACAAGTTCATCCCCTCCATTATATTCCCATTCCCCCCTCTCTCTTCCTTCTTCTTTCAGTGTTTGGTGCACTTCATCATGCTGTCTTCTTGTGTATATATGCTGCTTACTTCCATCCTCTTCACCCCTCAGTGTTCGTTCCTTCTCCTTCCCACTGATCTCCCCCAGACTGAACATGCCATTTCTAGACCTTACAAAGTGCCCACTTAGCAAGCACAGTGAAATGGTTTTTAGAATATTCACAGTGTGCGCCTCCATCACTCTCACTCTACCTGTGCTGAATGGATGGAGTACCTCTGCTTCTAGGTCTCTAGGTTCTTAGTTTTAGCATAAGAAGTTAGCATAGGATAGAAGTTTGGGTGCCTGTGGTACCCACAGGTTAAGAACACAGTCTCTGGAAATGGGTGGAACTGGGTTCAGTTCCCAAGTCCATCCTTTATCACCTTTGTGACTGTTGCCAAGTTTCTTAACTTCTCTGAGTCTCAGCTGCATTCTTGGAGAATCTCTTCCTGAAATGGCTCAGGTGAGGATCCAGTGTGGTAAATATTTAAATCACTTAGCGGTATGCCTGGCACATAGTAAGTATACAAAATTGATGCCTTTTGTTGGTATTACTTATCTGTTTGTGTGTTTATTATAATTCTTCCTTTCTTTTTTTCCTCTTCTGATCTAGGCGTGACCAGGGGGTATCTGGGGACCAGGTCTCCATCATGGTGGATGGCGTCCAGGTTGCACTACCTTCATACGAGGAGGCTGTGTATGGCAGTTCCGGTCACTGCATGCCGCCTGCTGACCCTAGAGTGCAGATTGTGCTGTCAGAAGGGTCTGGTTCCAGTGGGAGGAGCCTGCCGAGGGAGCAGCAGCCACAGGGCCAGGGAGCCTGCTCTTCTACCAGTGGAGAGGATGAGGCCCCTGGCCAGTCAGGACTGTGTGAAGCCTGGGGCTCCCGGGGCTCAGAAACTGTGATGGTGCATCAAGCAACCACCTCTTCCTGGGTGGCCGGCTCAGGGAACAGCCGACTGGTACATAAAGACACCACAGACTCAGAGAACAGTGACATACAAAGTCTTTTATCCCTCACATCGGAGGAGTACACAGATGGTAGGTGGTCTGTGCTAAACATAAATTATTAGGTGTTTAGAGTCCTTGCTGAGAGTGAGGAAGGACTATGGGCCTTTCTAATAATTGGTGTGTCTTTGGCAAAGAAAGGTAATGCCCAGGGTATTAACCTATAGAATAGAATTTCACCCTCAGAGTGCCAGGTAGGGCTTCAGGCTCTCTGTAGGGAGACTTTTCACTGTTGTATATGAATTTAGACAGTTTGGAGTCTCTGAGACTATTCATGACTACAGGGATGTGCAAAATCAAAAAGACAGCTAGGTAAGAGTAGGAAAGGGGCTGTCCTGTTGTTACAGTTTTTATGTTCCTGAAAGGTCAGGAATGACAAGAAGACCTAGGGGCCTATTAGAGAGAAAACTGGAGCCTGTCTCTTCCAGAGAAGACAGCTTCTTTCTTCAAAACAAGAGTATGCCAGGTACAGTGCTCCTTAGTTTGCTTATACGATCTCAGTTAAACCTCACAGTGATTTTTGAGTAGTAGGTATTTATTACTGTCCCCACTTCACAAATGGGGAAACTGAGGCCCAAGAAACTTAAGTCACTCACCCACTGGTAAATGACAGAGCTAGGATTTGAAACCAGGTGACTCTGGCTCCATTTTTAACCCTGCAGTACAATGCTGCCTCCCAGGTAACTCAGTTCCTTTGTGGCAAACCAGCCATAGAATGAAATTACTTCTTCCTGATAGTCTGCCTTTGCTGAGGTCATGAGAGTTTACTCTTGGGCTTGAGTCTGTCACTTTAAAGAAAATATCTTCATGCATAAACACTTTCAGCAGGAGCAGGTTATAAAATCAACATACAAAAAATCAATAGTTATTTTTTAATTTTCTTTGTACTAGAGTTTGAACTCAGACTCACGCTTGCTAGGCAGGGACTCTACTGCTAGCACCACACCTCCGGCCCATCAGTAGCTTTTCTATACACCAACAGTGAATAGACTGAGAAGGAAATCAGGAAAACAGTCTCACTCACAATAGCCTCAAGAAATAAAAAAAAAAAAAAACCTAAGAATAAGTTAAACAAAGGAAATGAAAGACCTCTACAATAAAAACTATAAATCACTGAAGAAAGAAGTCAAAGTAGATGGAAAGATCTCCAATGCTCATGGATCAGCAGAATCAATATTGTGAAAGTGGCTATACCACCAAAAGCAATATGTGTTCAGTACAATCCCCATCAAAATTCCAATGACATTCCTCACAGAGATAGGAAAACCAATCCTAAAGCTCACATGGAAGCACAAAAGATCTTGAATAACTAGACAATCCTGAGTAAAAAGAATAGCGTCGGAAGTATCACAATACCTGACTTCACACTTGCTACAGAGCAATAGCAATGAAAACAGTATAGAACTGGCTCAAGAACAGATGTGAAGACCAGTGGAACAGAATAGAAGACCCAGAGATAAATCCTTGGAACTACAGCCATTTAATTATTGACAAAGGAGTTCAAAACATATGTTGGGAAAAGGACAGCCTCTTCAACAAATAGTGGTGGGAAAACTGGATATCTACATATACAAGACTGAAACTAGATGCCTGTCTCTCACCCTGTACTAATATCAATTCGAAGTGTATCAAGGATCTTAATGTAAGAACTGAAGCTGTTAAACTACTACAAGAAGGAATAGGAAAAACACCAGAATAAAAACACTAGGCATAGGCAAGAACTTCCTTAATATAATAATGATAATTCAACAAAAAAGAGAAAGGATTGATAAATGGGACTGCATCAAACCAAAAAGCTCCCATACAGCAAAGGAGACAGTGACTAGACTCAATAGCCTACAGAGTGGGAGAAAATCTTTGCCAGCTATACATCTGACAAGGGATTAATAACCAGAATATATAGGGAGCTCAAAAGGCTAAACTACCAAAGAGTCAATAACCCAATGAATAATTGGGCAAATGAGCTGAACAATTTTCAAAGAGAAGTACAGATAGCTAATAAATACGTGAGTAAATGCTCAATGTCCTTGGCCATAAAGGAAATGCAAATCAAAATGACATTGAGATTTCACCTTACTCCAGTCAGAATGGCTATCATCAAGAACACAACAACAAATGATGGCGAGGATGCAGGGAGAAAAGGAACTTTCATATACTGTTGATGGGAATGTAAATTAGTACAACCACTGTGGAAAGCAGTATGGAGGGTCCTCAGAAAACTAAAAATAGAACTACCATATGGTCCAGCAATACTGCTTCTGGGCATATATCTGAGGAATGTAAGTCAGGATACAATAGAGACTTTTGTACATCCATGTTCATTGCAGCAGTATTCACAATAGCCAAGCTATGGAAACAGCCCAGATGCTCAACAACTGATGAATGGACTAAGAAAATGTAGTATATATACACAATGGAATATTATTCAACCATAATGAAATTGTCATTTGCTGCTTAAAGGATGGAACTAGAGATCATCATATTAAATGAAGTAAGCCAGGTTCAGAAAGACAAAGGTTGAATGTTTTCCCTCATGTTTGGAAGATAGACCCAAAAAGATAAGAGTATACACAAATACAGACATGATTTTATATATACACACACACATATATATAACATGTCTGTACTATTGGGACTGGTTGAAGGGACTAGGGAGTTAAGGGAGAAGAAAAGAGAATGATACATTGCATCTGTGTAGGAAGATGGCATGACAAAATGCAATGAAAACTGAATAATAGTAAGGGGGAAAAGAGTAAGGGAGAGTAATAGAGGGGACTAATTGGAATAAAGTACAATATAGTCATGAGTGAAAGGGTGGGCATTAGTGGTGGGGGGAGAGTAAAGGAGGGTGAATATAGTCGATGTACCTTATATACTTTTATGGAAATAGAACAATGAAACCTGTAAAGAAATAAGTAAAATCCTGTCATACCATGTTTTAAAAAGAAAAGTATCTTCATGGAGATGGAGGTGCGGTTCTAATGGGTAGTATACCTGCCTAGCAAGCATGAAACCCTGAGTTCAAACCCTAGCACCTCTAAAAAAGTTAAATTTAAAAAATCTTCAAGTGAAATCCCAGTGTAATTTATAATGCAGCACAAAACCTAGAAGCTTCCTTTAGACAGTGACACTTTCTGTGCTTATGAGGTCTTCCTGTAAGAAGTGCAGAGGAAACTAGGTATCTGCAGGGCAGAGTACCTGTCTACAGATTGGAAATTCTTGAATGCAGATCGTGTTTTTTGTTTCTTATCAGCAGCTTGCCTTCTTTTTTCTTGGTTGACCAAAGACATAAACAAGGGAACATTGAATAGTTGACCCAGGTTTGGATGGTGAAACCAGTGATCCTCCTGGACAGTCAACCACGTATATTATGGGTCTGACTGCACATGGCAGCTCTTATCCTCCCAAAAGTCCTGCTTATACTTTTCCTCACTGTCTTGCTTTGTTCATGTCTTGAACAAGCATTTTTTTTTTTTTGAAACAGGGTCTCACTATGTATCCCAGCCTGGACTCGAACTAATGATCCTCCTGCTGAGTCTCTTGTCTCTTGAGTGCTGGGATTACATGTATGTGTCACCATGTTCAGTTTGAACATGCATTTTTGAGAACTTGTCTTGGGCTTGGTGCTGGATGAAGCTTCAGGAGTGACACAAAGAAACAGGAAAAGTTTCTCTGCTGTATGGAGTATCATATCAGTTAGTTGGAAAGATGGTGGGGCCTATAATAGTAAAATAATGGAACCAAGAATGATAGGGCTAGCCAGGTGTGGTGAGTGCACACCTTATAGTCCCAGCACTTAGGAAGCTGAGGTGGGAGGATCATAAGTTCATTGAGGCCAGTCTGGGGTACATAATGAGGTCCTGACTCAGTAATAGATAGATAAAAAGATAGATAAAAATAATTGAAGTGTTCACATCATAATGAGGGAGCTCAGAAAACAAGACATGTAGGTTAGTGAGCCATGCCTGAGCTGTCTGGGACTGAAGTCATAGGAAGCCAGGAGCTTGAAGCTCAGGTCTAGTGTACACCCCCCCCCCCGCCCACACACACACCCTCCACTGACACATGAGAAGTCTGAAACTCAGAGAGGAGAAGTGATTTGCGCAGGGTCACACAGCTAGCAGCTAGCTTTAAGGAGGTAGGACTTAAGCAGGGCTTTGTAGCTTTGTGGGGTGGACTGGGGAGAAATGCAAGTGACTAGATCAGTAGAGAGGAAGGTTCGTGTTCATGGGACCAGAAAGAGTTTGGATACCAAACTGAATATTCAGATTTTATCACACAGGCAGTAGGAGAGATGAACTAGAAAGGCCTGAAAAAGAGACAGAATTTTTGGCTGGAAGTATATGAATAGGACATTTGATTTGTTTAAACTATAGGCTGTGTGGGCCCCTGCGGTAGGATCCAAGAGTGCTGCAGAGGACCCCTTTGGGTAACCAGTATGCTTTCCCTCCTTGTCTTCCTGCAGATATCCCACTATTGAAAGAAGCATGAGGGCTACTGCCAGCCTCTCTCCTCTCTGCGAGGATCCTGTCTGCCCTTCCTCCCTCCCTTTGGGTTGGAGCACCCTGTCCTCTTCAGCCATCCCACCTGGATACCTGAGCTGCCACTTGTGTATCTGTGTGTCTCTGAAGGCCTGCAGGCCGCCTTGCTGGAAACTCAAGGAAGATTCTCGCCATCTGCCTGCTAGACAGCTGGAGGAGCTGGCTCTTTGCCTGGCCCAGCCTTCCCATCTGTCAGAGACATATTTGAATGTGCTGGATTGAGCCCTTTCTTTCCCTGAGCCTCTGGGTCCCTTCCAGCCAGCTCTCTAGCAGCAGCCCTCATAGCTGTATGGGCCTGAGTGCTGCTGTGTTTACTTGTGCCTTCCCCTACCCTGTCCAGTTTCCCTGTCATGCAGGTGTGTTGCTGTCCAAAAGCCTTAGTGGCTGCTACCACCTGCATACAGGCTGGGCTAGGGGCTGGCATTGCTGCCCCTTGCAGGAGCAAATACAAGAGTGAGCTCTTGAGGCAAGAGTGGCTCTCACTGGAGCAAGAGTGTGGGTCCTTGGGCTTGCCCTGTGTTGATATGGTGGCATGATTCCTTGACTAAGAATGGAGGATTTGGAAAATCATGCCAAAGCCATCCCAACATCCAACTTTAAAGCTCAGGTGCAGGCTCCTGGCCCTGTTGAGAATTTCCAAGAAGCATCCAGAAGATCCCAAGGGAGGGAAGGAAGGTGGCTGATAATGATTGTCTTCCTAATACGCAAGTTCTCACTTCCTGCTTCCAGCATTGGCCACCTTGGCCTCAGTTTTTCTGTTCCCTGGATAAAGGGGAGTTGCATGCTGCCTCATAGGCTTTGTCCTAGGCAGCTCTGGCTTCCTTGCTGCCCTCAGGGCCCTGAGATTTGCTGAGATGTCGCTTAATGCTCATCTGTACTCTGGCAGTCTGAGCAGGTTGCCCCTTTTGGGTTTGTGGTGATGGAGGAGAGGCCAAGAGGCACAGACCAAGTCCCTGGGTGGCTGCAGGCAGCTCTAGCCCGATCCTGAGGATCCTCCTCACCACGGTTATGTGCCTTAGTAACTGTGCCCAGGAAGTAGCCTGCTGCATCGCTGCTTTTCATACTTCTCCCCTTCCTCCCTTCCTGTGCCCCTCCGCATGTCATTGCTGACAAACCACTCCTTGTCTTCCTTGCACCTTGGAGATCTGGCTGAGAACCGGACTCCCGTGCTCCTGGCCTTACTGCCTGAGGTGGGCTGATGGGTGCCTAGCAGCCTGGCTCCCAAGGCCCCTTTAGACTGAAGCCTGGAGTACAGGCCCTGTGAGGGAAAGCCCTGGTGATGGGGGGCAGGGTTGGGGAGCTGCTATGGCCTTGCATAGAATGGAAGCCAGGCTGGGCAGCTGAGCTTTTACCCAACAACTCCCATCTTCAGAAGACAGTTGTGGCATTAAGGAATGTTCGCTTTTGCATTTTTTTCCCCTGAAGCACTGGGGCTGACCCTGTGCTACACCTGTGCTCCTCTTCTAAGCCTCTCTGGGGTGGTAAAAAGAATAAAAAGCCCAGTGTTTTTTCAGTACCTGACCTAACAGGGTTAGCTCTAGGCATGAGTGGCCTCAAAGACGGGACTGGCTTTCTCCCAGCCCACCATCCTCTGCCTCCACTCTCACAACGCACTTTACTTCCTGCCGCCCTTGTCTTCTTTCCTCTCAGGGTAAGGGCAGTGCCTGATGGCCACTCCCACATGTCCCCCATCCAGACATCATGTTTGCTGTGCCCAAAGTCCAGGCAAGCATGGTTGGTTGGCTAGGGAACAGGTTGCAGAAGGAGCTGGAACTATTAGGCTGAAACCTGAGGGAGATGAGACACCTCCCAGTGTTGCTGGCAAAGCTCATGAGGGTGAGGGAGGGTCTCAAGAACCCCAGCCACTTCACCACACCTGGCTCTCATTCACCCTCACTAGTGCCCTTTCTTCAGGAAAAGAGCAGAGAGAAGTGGGGAAATGGGGCTGGAGCTTCATACAGCTGAACCTTCCACTTTTACTCTACTCTTCCAAAACCTGCACTCTGTTCTAGCAGTTTTGAAATGGAAGACCCGACCATTTTCTGTCTCCTTACTCTGGGTTTTGTCTCAGAGTTTGCACTTTCTGTTTCAGGGGTTTTCAGCGACATAGGTGGCTGACTTGGCCCTGGGTAAAATAAACAGCCTTCCTTTGCCTGGTGCCTCCTTCCATCTTGCCATGCATTAACCTGCTCTAGGGTTCAAAAGCCCAGGTTCAGCTACCTGCTAAAGAAGTAAGAAGGTGGAACAAGCCAGCCCCACTCCCCACTCCTCCTCCTGTCACTGGCTTTGAGGAGACTGTTCCCTGGGTGCTTACGGGCCTGTGCAGGCATAGCTGCACTGCTGCTAGCATCTGTGACAGCTTCTTCCCTTTGTTTCTTTTTCCCTCAGAGCCATTTCTTAACCACCACCCACCTAATGCTGTTTCTGGGGCTTTTAGGGAGGGATTGGGGCTCTACAACTGCCTTGAGGTGGGGCCTGGCTAGAGCCAGTGCCAATGGCGGGTAGCAGGCTGCTGGGAAAGAGCAGGAGGCAAGAAACTAGCCACAGCCCCGTTTTCCTGGGCTCATCTCCAAGAGCATCCTGCAGAAAACTTGTCCAGGAGAGGTGGCTAGCGCCAAAGGACTTTTATAAAGGTGTGTTTGGGGGGGAGGGTGTTGTTTGGTCTTGTTTTGTTCTTTCCTTGTATATCTGAGCTGATTCAATGCAGGTTTTATATCCTTGTGACTTGCAGTCACATTCTATCAACTTTCAAGGGCCAGAATATGGTGGAAAACACTTAAAGTTTCCTTCCCTCCCATGCCTTAGTTTAGCAGATAGGCTCTATATTTTGTCATTTCTGTATTTCACGTGCTGTGCTCCTGTTTCACTGGGTGTGAACTGTGAAATGGGTTGAGTCCTGGCCACTTTGTGAGTGTGTTTGGTTTTATGAGGCATTTCAATGTACATTCTACAAGCACTCCATTTGCAAAGAGAATTTAAGCTAATACTGTCTTCTGCATTTATCTTGCCCTCCTCCTCCCACCCCCAGCTTTAAAGTTCTGTGGAGAAGTTGGGTGGCAAAACAGACAAAGGTATACTTTTCCTGCTTCACAAGTGGTGGCACAGGGATAGGTGGTGCTTGGCCTTTTCCCTCCCAACCTCATTGGCACTCTCAAACCACTGGCACCATACATAACAGTGTTGCCTCCATTTCTGGGGAACATCCATACATACAGAGTGGAATTTACTGTAGACATTTCTAGATCCTTGATTTTATTTCTTCTTCTCCTTTCTCAAAGATCCAAAAGGAACTAGAAAGGAAGTGGGATACAGGCTTCACAGCTTAATTCCAGCTGTGCTTGCCAAGGGCAGTGAGACTGGGGGCTTCTCTCATGGTGCCTGCTGGGTTTCCTGCAGGCCTTGGGGAATGTTTTGCTTGGCAGATATTTAGGCTGAGTGGTATGGTAGCTGGTTCCCTAGAGAGAGAGGTGGCAGGCTCAGCTTTACTGGGAAGCGGCTCTTAGTTTCCAGTTGAAAAATCTAATAGAATTTTTAACAAACCTCCAGTGTTGATCCCTACCAAGCAGCAGAGCTATCCAGAGGGGCTGCCAGGGCCAAGCTCTCAGATTGCCAAGCAGGAATGGGAGATGGTTATGGTTTGTGAGGTAGCACCCACACCTGCCCTGGTTTCTTAAGGTTATCACACCACTATGGGATCCTTTGCAGAATGGTACTTGTACGATGGTTTAAAACAACACATGCATAATTAACTGCAGGATGTCACTCAATCAGTTTGGATTTGCTTTATTTTATTTTATATATATATATTTTTTGGTATCCTGTACATTGCAGTGGGTGTGAAGATAGTATTTTAATATTTGTACAAAGTTTAATTTAATTTTAATTGTTCTATGTATATAACTGCATTTCTAAATAATAATAATAAAAATTCTTATGAAGGCAGTTGTGGAAGATGTGATCCTTCCATGAAACTTTTGCAGAAACTCTAGATTAAAAAGAGTGAATGTGGGCCAGAACTCAGGAAGGGGCAAAGCGTTAACTCTGGGGGAGGCTGCCTGGCAGGAGATGGAGGAGACAGGACCACCAATGTCAGTGGGAATCCACTGCCTCTTGTTCCAGTGCTGTGAGGGTGCCAACCACTGAGCACTGAGTGTTCAAGCCGGCCCTCACCAGTGAAATGAACATTGTGTTTTGGGCCTACAGGCAATGTCAGACAGTCCAGGCGGACAGGCAGCTCCAAAATGTGCCGTGATTGATAGATCAGGGATATACAAGGCAGGGCAGGCAGTCAGAGAATGCCTCTGGATGAAATGACATCGAAGCTGAGATGTGAAGGGCTAGTGCAGAGACGCTAAGCAGCAGGACACTACCTTTGTGTAGGTGCACATGGAGCAAAGTCCACATGTGGTGAAAGAAACCAGGAGCCTAGCATATGAGCAGCTAAGGGAAAGTGAGAAAGCCGAGGGAGGAGGTAGGAACTGGAGTGGGGCTTTGTGGCATTTAAGCCATGTAGAACATGTTAAGAAATGAGTTCACAGAATAGCAGGTTTTGTTCATAAGAAAAATGAGAAGGAAAACCCTATTTCAATGACAAGCAAGTCTCTGTCACTGGACACAGGTGCAGGTTAGGAATGCTGGCCCCATACAGGCAAGAAAGGAAAGTCCGTGCAAGAGAGACTGTTGATGAAGGGTCATCCATGGGGTTGTCCTCTTGTGATGACAGGTGAAAAGGAGCAAAGGAAACCATAGAACCTGCAGAGCCGCCAGGGCAGAGGGCTGTCTGAAGTATTTGGCTCAGGTATGGATGGATGGTGTGGGTGGAGAGAAAAGGACTCTTCTGCCCCTTGCAGAACCCCCACCTCCCACTTTGTAAAATAGAGACCTACAGATAGCAACAAAAGTAGTAACCATCTCTCATTAGGTCCTTCTCAGACTACTTAAAAATATTTTTACAGACACAGAAGTAATACATACCCATTTCAGATAATCTAGAATGGGAATTAAAATAACCCATAATGCCACTGCCTACTTTTAATGTATATATTTTCTCTTCTATGCCTGTGTATATTTTCCTTTTATAAATGATCACTTTCTCCTTTTTGCACAGTATTTTGAAATCTCAGAAAGCATGGTTTGGTGATGTTTCTCAAAAGAGGAAATGAATTTAATGTGATTGAAAAACAAAGGTATAAAATATCACTTTAAAAAATCATTTTAATAGTATTTTATGTGGTTTTTAAAAGAATCACCTGTATCATTTAAATGGCTGTATGTAATATTGATAATTGGGACTTTTAGATTATCAAAATTCTTTTCTTTCCTTAGGATAAGGTACTGGAAATGAAACTGCTGACAAGTTGTCTGATTTAATGACTTGATATATCTCAAATTGCCCACCAAGAAGTTACTCCAAATTATGTATTCATTAGCAGAATGGTCATTCTCTTTCCCACAATCTCACTAGCACTGGGAATTGTGATTTAAAAAAAAAAAATACACCAGTTGAAAGACTCACTTTTTTCTCCATTATTCTTGATTTTTTTTTTTTCCGGTACTGGGGCTTGAACTCAGGGCCTACACCTTGAGCCACTCCACTAGCCCTTTTTTGTGTTGGGTATTTTTAAGATAGGGTCTCGTGAACCATTTGCCCAGGCTGGCTTCAAACCATGATCCTCCTGTTCTTTGATGCCTGAGTAGTTAGGATTATAGGCATGAGCCACTAGTGCCTGGCTGAAGTTGAATTCTTAAAATGTTTGCTCACTCTTGTAACAAAGACATCTTGAAAATCACAAAGTCCAAGTTTGAGATGAGAAGACAAAACAGTGATTCCTCTTTCTCCTCTCTATTCAATTCACACACACAAATTGTGTGTGTTTGTGTGTAAAACCTGCAAGCTGCTGAGAATAAGGAAGCTGTTAACCCTGGGACTTGAAACAGAATTACTATTACTAACATAGGTTTCCCAGTAGGTTTTCATTTCTACTTGATGAAGGGAAAGCATGTTTTGACCTTGGACATTAAGCTCAGTACTGTCTTGAAATTTCCTTGGGAAAATTAGCTAAGGTTGGTTTGGATTTAGAAAATAAGGAGCTATAGACACCAAATCTTTAGAGCATGTATATGGGTGTGGTAAGGGTGCTTGGGCTGGGAAAGGAAGGACAACGAAGGGAGAAGCCATGAAGGCTTCCATGTGTTGAACTGAGCTCACGTAAGCATTACTTTGGATGATCTTCCTGGAAAGGGAAGACATCTGGAGCAAGGGGAATGAGATAAAGAGCTATGATGATGCAGGGTATGGGCCTGTAATCCCAGCACTGGGAAGGCAGAGGGGAGAGAGCCTCAAGTTCAAAGCCAGCCTGGGCTACAGAGTGAGAGCCTGTCTCAAAAAACCATGGGCTGGAGATAGTAGCTCAGTGGGAGTAGTAGAGTGTCTAGCATGCCCAAGGCCTTGAGTTCAATCTCTAGCACCACAAAGTTCAAAAACAAAAAACAGTGAAACAAAAACCACTAAGGGTTTCAGGAAGAAGATACTGAGGGCTGAGCTAAAATCAAGGAAGCATTCCTGCTGCCCAGGAGAAGCTATGGCCATGATAGGCATTGCAGGCCACTCAGTGGGCAGCAGAGATAAGGAGGGCAAAAATGTAGGGAGAAGTGGAGGGATGCATTTGGGGAAGCCAAAAGCCAAACATTGCGTGCAACATAGCATTTGGTGGTGCTTTCTGTGTGTGGCACACTTCTATTGCTCTAGCCTGCAGTCCTGTCCTGGCTACTGAGGAAGGCATGATTAACCCTAACTTTGCAGATGAAGAAACAGGCTCAAAATCATGAAGTGCTTGGGAGGCTGAAGCAATAGGATCACAAGTTCAAGGCCAGCCTGGGCTACATAGTGAGAGCCTGTCTTTTAAAAAAAAATTATATATGGCTGGGGGTGAAGCTCCATAGTAGCTCATTTGCCTAGCATGCACAAAGCCCTGGGCTCCATTCCCAGCATTGCCTGTGTGTGGTACACACACACTCACACCGTGAAGGGCAGCTTTAGCCTAAAGTCACACAGCTATGAAACAATGGAAACTGGGATTCAAACATGAAGATTGTCTCACAGCCCAATGTCTTAATATCTTCCTCAAAGAACACTACCCACAACTCGGCTTCCTCATGATACAAGAACAGAAACCAACTGGCTGAAACCACACACTCAGCTCTACGAAGACAGTTTGAATGACTTCATTCTTTTTCTGGGGAAACTTGCTGTGAATCTCACATCAGTGTTCATTCATATCAGGAAAGACAATAAACCACAAACCCTTGGTTTCCAAAGTCCAGTCGTTTGGTCATTTATTTCCAACATCCAGTTTTACAGAGAAGGACATTGATGTCTGCAGCTACGTGCTGATTGTCCAAGACCACACGGCCAGTTGGTGGCAGAGCTGGGCTGACATTCTAGGCCTCTTTGTGTCCCTGTCCTGCCACTCTCAGTGAGTCCATTTTTCTGCTTGACTTTTGAGCATGACTCCATCTTCCTCTCGAACTCAGCTGCCCTGAAATTCTGAGCACCCACTGCTTGTTGCCCAGGGTAGACCAGAGCTTCAGGCAAGTTCCAAGAGGCCTCAGCAAAGAACCAAGCTGTCTCTTACCACTGGGGAACTCTTCACTTCCTTCCAGCAGGCAGCCTGGAGAAGAAAGGAGCCCCAGCATGGACAGCGAGTGTGTCCCAGGGCCCTAGACCTGGAGCAGCATTTTCATTTAAATCCCTGCCTCTCTTCCAGGCTAGATCTTCTGGCCCAGGCTGTGGCTTATCTGCAACCTAGACGAGGGCAAGAAGGTGCTGGAGTGGAGGGAGCTGCCTGCCAGGCAACAGGCAGCCTGTGTGTATGTATGTGTGTCCTGCTCCATGGTGGAAGTGGCAGCAAGAGGGAGAAGAGGAGAGAGCTGAGACACTACCATTTCTTCTCGTTAGCCAGAGGCAGTGCTAAAGAGCCCCTTGCTAGTTTGGAGGCCCAGCTGAAAAGAGATGCCCTCTTTGTTCCCTCAATCCTGGGACTGAGAAGGGGCTAGAGGGGGATTCTGTGCCACCCACCCCCCTGGCAGGAGCTGAGCTGGTAGCCTGCTTCCTGGCACTGGCTCAGGGCAGGAGAAATGCATTGTCCCAGCTATACCCAAGCAGCCAAGAAACTCAGCCTCCTACTGTCAGTTCTCTGTTCAGGATGAGAGAGGGCAAGGTCAATGCAGTTGTGCCCCAGTAGAGACACTGGTCAGGGAAGGAAGCTGCTCTTGCAAGGAAGACATCATTCACTCCATTTTACAGGTTAAGAAAGACTCAGATTCAGGTGCAGCCTAAAACCACATAGGTAATGGATCAGCCACTGAACTGAGGTCTGAATCCAGGAATACCACACTGAACTCTTGAGCTCACAGTGCTCACTAGCTCACCTCTCCTGCATACCAGCTTTCCTTCTTGGCTTCCTGGTCCTGACTACTTGGAAACAACTTCCCCAGTACCTGACCCTGTCCCACCTATTGTGCTGCCCAAGAATCCCTCCCAGGAATTCCCAAAGCCAGGACACCAACCCATTTAGAGCAATGCCTGGAGTCCCCAGAGCTCAGCTCTGCCTCAGCACTCCTGGTGGTTCCTGGTCCCTGGAAGTTTCAGGAAAGCCATGAACTACAGGCAGCAGATGTCTGGCTCTGTCTCAACTGGCAAAGGTGAGGGGTTATACTGGAGGATGCTCTGAACTTCCATGTCTTCCTGCCTCTTCTCGGGACCTAGAGCTGGGGAGAGCTGCTGGGCTTTTCTTTTTCAGCTACTAAACAGAGTATTTCATCTGGCTGTGAATCTGGGGTGAGACGTGACACATTTCTGTGCTGAGCCCATGTCCCTCTGCCTGGTGACAGGAACATTAAAAAGCATGAGGAACATCCTATCCGACACTCCAGAGGGAAACAGCTGCCTAGGATTTTGGATTTCCCCTGACACCTCAGTGTCCTCAGAAGAGGAAATTTTACAACATGAACATGTCCCAAGCAACCTGGGTACTGGGTGATTCTATGATTCTCCTTTGGCTAGGCATGGCAGAGGGTTTGGCAAGCGTGGACATCCCCACGGCGGAGCTGCCCTGGGGAAGCAGTAGCCTGGTAGCCTCCAGCAAAGGCAGCGTGTTTGAGCTGAAGCCTGCTGGCTGAGGTTCAGCATCTGGAGAGATTTGGGGCGTGTGAAGGAGAGATGAGGGCTCAACACACACACACGAAATACAGGGCTGCCTGACTTGTGGGGCTGGTCTCTAGAGACCTTTGAGCAACTGAGCACCAATGACTGTGAGCTTTTTAGTTTTTAGTGCAACAGCCTTTCTACAGGATGGCCATTTCCCACTCCTGCTTCAATCATTTCATTGTTCATTTTTTTAATTTGTTCAACAAGCCATCTGACATTTCGCAAAGCCTGGGACTGGGTTCTCAGGGCACAGTGATTAATAAGATTCAGTGTATACCTGCATTTATAGACTAATAGGGATGAAAGAGATTAAACAGCTACCTAAAAGTTAAGACAAGCTTTTTTTTTAAAAAATGCTGCAATGGTAGATTGGCAAAGTGCCGGGGGAGGGAAGAGGAAGGAAGAGTTAATTTCTTCGGAGGGTGAGTAGAGTCCCAGGAAAGGTGCCCCTTGATTGGGTCGGGTCTTGAAGGATAAATTGTGTTTCAATATTTTTGATAGAGAAATAAGTGAACAGGAGTCTTGCATAAAAGGGGAAGAGGACTTTCTAGGCTACAGAGACCCATGGGAACAAAAGTAGCAACATTGAAAACTAAGAAACACAAGAAATTGCCTTTTTTTTTGTATATTTCTTTTTAAATATGTCAGTGATGGGCAATTTAAACCAAATATATAACTTCAAATTAAGATTGCCTTTCTTCTCTGAATTAGACTATACTTTTATAATATTAATCACAAGGAAAAAGCTTCAGGACCCCTCTAGACAAGTGACAAGAGGCTTCCTGTCCAGGAGTCTTCTTTACTAACCACACTAAGCAGAGCTCTTTCTGCTCACAACCGATAGCTCGTGCCTCACAGCAGCAGGGACATCATCAGAAATTCTGTGACCTGTTCAAGTTTCCAGTAGAAGCCAATGCACTTGCTCTTTGGAGTGGATGACAGAAAGGGCACCAATGGCTTGCAATCAAGTTTCTGCCAATTACAGCCAGGTGGCAATTCCAATGTTACAAGGAAACCCATTTTTGTTGTTTTCCTTCGGGCATCAAATGATGGAGAGCAATTACACCCAACTAGAATATTCTTTCCTTGTCAAGTCCTTTTTTCACCAGTAGTATTCAATAATATTCAAGCTCTCATAACAATAGATGTTGAAATATCAGAAATAATATTTTTGCCCAATCAGACTGACAAAAGAAAAGGCTTGAAAATGCCATAGACAGCAATTTGGCAACAAATTACAATCCAGTTTGTCATCTTTCTTATTTAATAATTTATTCTTAAAGACATTAGAGGGGGAGCA